TAGTGAGTTCTTTTCCTAAGGCATGCAAAAATGTAACAATTTGAGTAAACCTTGTATACATTTCAAAAATTGATTCAGATGGTTTCATATAAAAATTTTCATAATCATGCAACAAAATATTTAATCGATATTGCTTGACTTCTTTAGTTCCTTCATAAGTAATACACAATAAATCTCTTTACCATTTGTACAAGTTGAAACACGCATGTAGTCTTTAGATTTTAAAATACAGAAAAAATAGTTCAAATATTTTGTATTAACTTGTGCTAAATCCCTATCATCAAGACTCCATTCAAAAAAAGAAAGTGGAACATTAACACCATTAAGTTTACCAGTCAAAGGTGTATAACCATCCTTAATGAGCATCCACATGCGATAGTCAATCGATTGCAAAAATGTAGACATACAAGTTTTCCAAAAATCAAATGGAATATTATCAAACAAAGGTGGTCGGGTAATAGAATACCCTTCCACAGTATTATGATTACCAAAATTAGCCATATATCGAAATTCAAAAGCTTTCAAAATTTTGTTTTTATGAATCCCGCTTTGATACCACTTGAAAGTTCGTTAGGGATGTTAAACCCTTATGAACTAGTCCTGAGGCTAACCAAGGGGGGTGAATTGGTATTTTAAAAACTTTTCAAACAAATCACGAATCTTAAATCAAAACATAATTCACCACAATAAAACTAGAGTGTGGAAATTAAATGCATAAGAAAAAAATAAATAAAGAACACACCAAATTTATAGTGGTTCGGTTAAATATTGACCTACATCCACTCCTTAGAGGCACCCTCTGAGTATTGCACTAACTTGTTTCTCTCCTTTAGCCCCCACAGCTAGGCGAAGAAGCCCTTGCAAAAATGCTTCTTCTCACCAACCCCGATATTGTAGAGACCTGACTCCTTATGCTTCCTCTTGAAGCAGGCAGAGAACCTAGACCAATTGCTAAAGTAGAACTTCCTAGAACCCCCCAAGGATAAGGGATGATGATCGGAGAAGACAACTTGGAACCATGCTTGGATCAACCCTTATGAACCCTCTCACAAACTCTCCCTCACAAGTTCCTCCCTTTCTCTCCCTCTCTCTCCCTCTCCTCTTGGTTCCCTCAGGTCAAGACAGCAGCAAAAGATGCTTAGACTTGAGAAAACACGAGTCCTTTAAATAGATTTTCAAGAACAGAATTTTTCGTCCATGACGATATTCCTATCGTCCTATACGATCAGTACAAATTAAGCTCAATCAGCCCGAATGACTTAGGAGGATTAGAAGATTTTTATTCATATCATCCAGGATGATATTATATCTATCGTCCTGTATGATTAGTTCAAATCGAGGAATATCATCCATACCATCGCTCTGAACGGGAGTCTGGACAAAAATAAAATTACTTGATCATCCAGGCCAATCTCTTGATTGTCCTGACTGATTAGTTCAAAATTTGCCCAAATTGTCTAGAACAACGCTTTAAACAAGCATTGGTCGTCTAGGAGAAATCAAGGTTTTTGAACTGAACGTCCTGGTCGATCATGCGATCGTCTAAGATGATATGATCATATCAATCAATCATAATTACTTTCCTTAATCTCTAGATCTATTTTGGCATAATTGTGTTGCATCGTCCAAGCCAATATCCTGGATGATAATTAAAAAATAAAGCTTTCTAAATTGATCAGGCGGCTGATTCTTTCTAATATGAGCCTTTTGTCCAAGATGATACAAAAATCATCCATGACGATATGCTTAATGACGGTTTCCTTAACCAGAATGTCCTAATTAAGGTTTTTATTTTTGACCGATCATTTAGGATGATTTTGGGATTGTCCCGGACGATGTGAGCAAAATCAAAAAACTCTAATTCAGATAGAGAAAAAATCATTCAAGTGTGTGTATAGTGTTACTTAGGATCAGGCACCATAAAGATTACAATTGACTCAAGAAAGGGGAAAAATACATTACAATTTGACTCATACCTAAACTATCCAATCTTGAGCTGGTTTAAATTATAGTCTTAATCATGTGTTCCTAAAATATTAGTAGGCAAGGCAGTCGAAGTAAAACAAAAGTGTTTGCAATCATCAAAATTCTATTTTGAAAATAGATGTGAATAATTTATGTTCATGCAGTTAGCTTAACTTTAAAATTTCATTCAATTTGGTCCAGCTAATCGAGCAAACGAGGCAAAAAACCATCTATAGTGTTCTATTATAATGTATGCTTAGTGTACATTTTCTAGGCCACTAATATCATGATCAACAGCTTAGATTGAGCCATTCTGCAACTTGGTTTCATTATGGATCTGATCCCACAATTAAATCCTATGTGCAACCCAATTTGAGCCCTTGATTTGGAATAGCAATGGATCGGATAATACCCGCTACGTGTGTTCGTTGCATTTAATCCGACCCACTGATCTTTTAATCAATAGCTCGGATTGAGTCATTTTTTTTTAATTATAGAATATGCTAATTATAGAGAGCTTTATTCGACTCAATCTCCACGCTCCATCTCAAACTGCACCCAATCAAATAGCACCGAAGCCTTACTAACTCGAATAAGTGGCTCATGGAACCATGGCACTGCATCTAGCAATGATTTCCACAACGTAGACATAGGCCATCAATGTCTGGCTTTTTGACTATGAATGCTCCTATACTGCCACGTACCAACCCCCCCCCCCCCCCCCACCCTAAAAAAAATTTTTGTCAATCGGATCTGATGGCCTGGATCAAGCCATGTAGCCCAGTGCAGTTAATTTAATAAAATAATTTACGATGATAAATCTTAAGTCTCAAACTCCAAAATACATATCCCAAATCCAAACCCTAAAAGTGTTGCTATTATTTGTTGTATTTATAACCTATACCTCTTTAATTACTAGCCTTAATCGAAAGTTCTCTCTTATTATCAAGAGGGGTAATTAACTATAGGGACTTGCGCCTATAGGAAACTAGAAATCAGATCAAAAAGTCCTCACAAAATGAGGAAAAAATCTCTGAGTAGTGTCTTATCTAAAGCACAATCTACCTTATAAAAATTCACCTGGAACCTAAGCTCGTTAAAACTCTCTATCGTTAACAACAACAAAAAAAAAAAAGAAAAGAGAAAGACCAACGCGGAGAGGCCGGGGCGCAACTTCATGGAATTTTTGGAGCCCACGATTACATGGTTAAATGACCCATCAATTTAGACCCAGTGCCATAATGGAGAGGTTAAAAAATGCTGCAATGCTAGCTCAAAATAACAACGCTGCAGTGTCATTTTTTTATAATGTTTTGGCACTAGTGTCAGATAGTGTGTTTAAGGGCTGACTATTTTTTTATTATGCAAAATAGTGCGAGAGAGTCTATAGAGAGTGAATGAGTGAGAGGGCTTCAAGAAAAACAATTCGGAGAGCTAAAGGTATTTGGAATTTTTGGAGCCCACAGTTACATGGTTAAATGACACATCAATTTAGACCCAGTGCCAAAATGAAGAGGTTAAAAAATGTTGTAATGCTAACTCAAAATAACAACGCTGCAGTGTCATTTTTTATGATGTTGTGGCACTAGTGTCAGCTAGTGTGTTTAATATAAATAGTATTTTGGCCTAATTGTGAGGGCTGACCATTTTTTTTATGATGCAAAATAGTGCGAGAGAGTCTATAGAGAGTATATGAGTGAGAGGGCTTCAAGGAAGACAATTCGGAGAGCTAAAGATATTTGTAATCATTTGTAAAGGCGCTTCAAGGTGATATCTTATAAACTCCTCTTTTGTACTTTATTTTTATTATTTATGTAAAACTATTTTAGGTATTTTCAAGTCCACTGGTGACAAATTTACTTATTCTGAACTTGTGATGTGTGGGAAAGCATGATTTACTTAAGTAGAATCTACTGCTTGCAATGTTCAATGATGTTTTCAATTCTCTCAATCTTAATTTAATTATTACATAGGCTATGACATGCCTAAAACCTAGTGTGAATTATTGCCTTTCCTGAGGAATAAGAGAAAAAATGGGAGAATTAAAATGAAGCATTATTATGCATAGACATATGATGGCTAGGGTTTTGGATTCTAAGGAGATAAAATAATTGTAGTGAAGTGAAAACTTTACTCCAAACTCTTACATATTCGATTGAAATCTAAAAGGGATTTTTCTCTGATTCATAGCACACATTAGAGAAGTCAAAGTTAAGCAAACATGTATTTCTTCACCATCATAGGTTCAAAACACATTCATCTATTGAACTTTTCAATTCAGCATTTGAAAAAGGAACATTGGAAAACTCATTTTCATTCGAACTGGTAGGATAAATATTGTGGTTCAAATAGATAGTATTAGGGAAGTATTAGGATAATATAAGTCCTCATTGGATGGAAACTCAACTCACTTTTTTATTAATTGAATTGTATATGCACTAGCGTATAAATCAGTTTTGCTTAATTACAACACACAAAAACTCACAGAAACTCAAATGAAAAAAAATGGATAATGCACAATTAATAGCTCCTAATATAAACATGCAAAAACTATGCTGCAGAAGTAGCACTTATTTCACAACTAAAATTTAAGTAAATTCCAAAAAAATTTAAAATGTAAGAGAATTCTTTTGAAAATTATTTAAGAACCAGTCTTTAAAGTGGGCGAGGCGACCCATAGTAAAAAAAAAAAACATTTTTCCTTCAATTTTACCATATAAAATGAAAGTTTGAAATTGGATACCATTGTTCTAATTTAAGAACTGGTTTTTCTTTTTCCGACAACTCACGAAATGAAGATCTGCGATCTTATTTGGTTGCTTGTAACTAGAAATGTGATTATTTCACATTCCTCCCTTTCTGGGTGTGAAATTAAATTATCATTTTTTAATGAGAGTTTAAGAGAAGATTTTGTAAAGTTTCAATGGCTAATTACATTTCAATCAAATTATTTAACAATTTTCAACAAATTGATTTGTAACTTCAAGCACAGGATGAGCATTAAAATAGATAGATTCCTTTCATACAAGGAAGTCTTAAAAGAAAAAGCACACTGCTACATTGAATGAGATCAAAATATCGATAGTGTATACTGTACAGTGTACATAATAGATGAACTTCGGATACAACCTCAGGATTGATATCCTGCAACACCCTGAACATATAACTCTCAAATCAAGAATAAATAACCATATTCCCCATTTTATTTAAAACTGAACATGCTGACTCGGTTACTCTTAAATTATTCCTCTTGATCTCACCCCATGTACTTCTGAAATAGTAATATGTTGAACGAGCAGAAGCAGAGAGAAACTTGCATTCTTCTTCTCAGCATTATTCTTAGAGAAGACATTCATGTTTTTTTCTTTTTCTTTTTTTTCAGAAAGCTGACGAACGCTTGGCATACTCCTGAACTAATGCGCCAAAAAGCGAAGGATGGTTGATTAGATTGGCCGGCGAGTCAAATTCCTTTGCTAGTCCTGTGGAAAATGGAAGGATCGAGTCCATAATTTAATAAAATCACAAAGTGAAGCATTATTGCTCCCATAGACAAAAAACTAAGGTATAATTAAAGTGCCAACAGTTCAGAACTTTAGAATTGCATACCAGAATCTACAACCAGCACTCTATCGCAGTCCATAACAGTGGGAATTCTATGAGCAATGCTCATAATTGTACAGCCCGAGAAGTCTTCACGAATGATCTTCTGGATTAATCCGTCCGTCTGAGAATCCACAGAAGCAGTTGCCTCATCCATGAACAAAATTCTGCTTTTCTTCAGCAGAACACGACCCAAACAGAAAAGCTGCCTCTGACCAACACTCCAGTTCTCTCCATTATCAACCACTGAAGAAATTGAGAGATGCTTAAATTAAAAGAAAGAAATATTTATGTTGGTTTAATCAAAGAGTTGCTGAATTTCAAATTTTCGATGCAGTTTGGGTGTCCATCACCCAAGTTCAGGTTTCATCAAATATATCTAACTGTTGGGGGTAGAAGTAAACAACATAACGAAACAAACAAGAAAAAATATAATGCAATGGAAAGTGAAGGACACAAAGATTTAGCGTGGAAAGATCCGAAATCAGGAAAAACCCATAGAGCCACACCGTACAAAGAAATCCACTATGAAAATTGGGAGAAATAAGTATAGATCTCTCTTCTCTCTCTCCTCTTCTTTCTCTCTCCTTGCTTCTATTCTCTCTTACACCATTCTCACACTCTAAACAAAAGAGAAAAGCCTCTATTTACCACCAAGGGATGCTACACTTCAGAAAAAACGAGAAATAAAATTGTCCAGTCATAGAGTTCACCTGCTAGTAGGGGCCGAATATGATCTACAGAAAAAATTGAATCCAACAGCACCGATTGATAAACATATATTAATCAAAAAAACTTAGTAGAAAAGCCAAACTACTTATTTTACTTCCAATGTAGGAATATTAAACTGCTTAAGTGCAAGAATAAGCATCAATATTTGCATTTTTTTTTCAATCATAATAAAAACCGGAAAGACGTATAACACAGATTACATGAATTGCATTATATCAAATGAATCATCAACTCTCATATTATTTGTCGGTGGTATTCAGCACCCAGGGTCACAGCCAACAGACATCTATCACTGCAAAACTCATGAAAAATGCAACCACAAATTTATTAGGAAAGAAAGACCTTGCCTCAATTCGGATGTGGACTACTCAACCACCCTCACAAGTCTGCCATAAACGCTCAAATGGTCGTCGATGGAACCATGTTGAAACTTTGTTAATAGCATACAGCGAAAAATATTAAACTATATTTGTCTGCTAAGGTAAATAGTAGCTACAAACAGCATGAACTCAAACGCTTGAATTAATCAATCAAAATATAAAGATAATTAAATAAGTTCATGGTACCTAGAGAATCAAGCTTCTCAGGTTTTGCAGCCACAACTTGTTTGAGCTGGCATCGTTCTAGGCTCTTCAAGGATAAGATCATGCAACAAAATATATTCAACATATAGAAGTTTGACTTCAGTAATAGATGAAATAGAAACTCAACAGTATCGATTCCCACCTGCCATATTTCATCATCAGTATGCCGTCCAATTGGATCAACATTGCTCCTCACAGTCCCATCAAAGAGAACCGGCTCTTGAGGAATAATGCCGAGACGTGACCTGAGATCATGAAGACCCAAAATGCAAATGTCCACTCCATCAATGATTATCTTCCCTCCGGAAGGTTCTACAATTCTGAAAAGAGCTTGAATCAGGGTTGATTTTCCACTCCCTGTCCGACCAACAACTCCGATCTTCTCACCAGCATTAATGTTAAATGTGATGCCATTCAAAACAAGAGGAGTATTCGGTCGATATCTAACCTGTAAGAAGTAATGCAGCAATCTTTTTGAGTAACAGTGCTAAAAGAGTTGATAACCGTATGCCCTAAAAAAAAAGTAAGTACCCTGCAGTTTTAGAAGATCCTAACCTTGAGATCTATTACAGAAATTTCTCCATCGGTTGGCCAGTTTGGTGAAGGCAGACAACCTTCAATCCTCCATGGTGCTTCTGGGGGAATTACACTGAATTGCTTTATCCTCTCTACAGAAACCATCCTGTTCTCTAAGAAGCAACTGACCAAAATGGCAAAAAATAGCACGGCGTTGAGAGAGAGACCATAGGATAGAGATAACCCAACATATTCTGCATTACAGAGTGAAAGAAATGTAAGCATAGAAAGTTCTATTTTTTTAATCTATATTACGGTTTACTTGAACTACTTTAAGGCATTAGTTAGGTATGATTGACAGCAAACGGAAATCTTTCAAGCAAAATTCTAAATATCTAAGTAGGACTATTAACAATTTGATCTCAAGCTCAGTTGACCCATTCTGAAAATCAGATTAAAGTTATGTGTTCCTATTTTGCGCTGAGCCAAGTATAGTAATAGCATGTTTAAATCAGACCTCAAAACAAATTCAATCTTCTAAGGCGTTCTCATCAAACATATATTTATACATATGCACATCCATCACATACAGATATAGATGTACAAATGCACATATGATGAATATAAAAACTAATCTATCCACTCAAAAATACATGCATGGATATTTTTGAAGCAATCTTGAGTTAGCTCGATTTGATCAATGCATACTCAATTCTGACAGTTTTGGCCATTATTCAACTCATTGATTAAGCAATCGGAACAAAAAAACTACGAAATCATTGAGATATTTTCAATCATCAAATCATATTCAAAGCCAAATATCTTCTTCAGCAAAAAGATAAAAAGTAGAAGTGCTTTTTAGCAGAATTTCGTATAAGAAAGATAGGTCTGTTCAGAACAAAATTGCACTTAAATGTTCCTAACCGGGTTTGATGATACTGCTGGGAAGCATAACCATTAGTAACGCAGATATGCATAAAACGAAAATTCCTATCAACTCCAACCGAAATCCCATCCACTCATTGGAACCATTGTTGTGAAAATCCATAGTTAAGCTTGCATCAACTTTGTGGATATTTCCCTGGAAGAACCTTTCTTCCTTTTTGAAACACCTGATTGTCATGACACCCTGAATGGTCTCTGAGAAGTGATGGATTACAGGCGCTTTAGTAATTGAACCAAGCCGACTTAGCTCCCGAGATGTTGCAATAAAGTAACCCTGCATTAAAATGATTTAGCATTATGAGGTGTAATTAATTAGATTGATGGATCATCGAAGCTCTTCTATAAACTGGTAAAAGCGCACCCTGTACCAAATGTTGAGCCATCCCAGTGGAATTATGAAAATAAGAGTTGGCCAAGCAACCTGAATGATGACGGTAAGAATGCTAAGAACTGTAATGTACGTTGAAATAGCTAACCCCATGAAGAAAGGGAGTAAGACATCCACATTGGTTTGATCCGATGATGCCTAACAAAAGCAATCCAATCAATTCAAGTAAAAATTAATTAATCAAGAAAGAAATGGCATGAAAGAGCCATTTAAATACATCACTCATGATATAAAAGAAAATTAATGAAAGATGGAGAAATCGGAAGGTGGAGAGAGGAGTACTCGACTAAGGATTCTTCCGGAAGGAGTGGTATCAACAAACGACATGGGTGCGTGCAAGATGCTTTTCAGAATCTGCTTGAAAAATATCTGGGCGGTCTCTAGCCCCCAGCGTGTGACAAGAAAGGCCCTCCCTGTGATAAGGATAATTGAAACTAGAGCTATAACGGCATAAACTCCAATAAAACGTGATGAACTGAATGAAGCAGCATTATCTGCTGAAATAGTAAATGACAACCAATAATCACACGCCATTAGAGAGCCGTGCCACAGCAGTGAGACAAGCAACACACCAATGACTCCCCACCAGCCCCAGGCCTCAGTGAGGTAGGTTTTGTATACATTCAAACTGACTTGGCCAGTTGCCCTCTCCTCATCCTTGATGAGCTTAGAAGAGCCCTTTTCAGCCTTAGGTGATACTGCGGTGTCACCATTAGATTTATCTTGATTTGTGATGGATTTATTCGATGCTTTAGATGGATCATTCATGCTTTCGTGTGTGGGTGCACTGTGCTCTAGTAGCTCCATAGAATTTTGGTGTGCAGCAACTAATGATGCAAAATCAGTACCAGCATTAAGTAGTTCGTCATACTTTCCAGATTGGATGAGCATCCCATCCCGCATAACCTGGTATGTTAATAGTCATATCAGCGAGAATAAAGCAGCAGATATAAACTATGATTGGCCTTTATGATTAAATTTATAAGTCGCAAGTCATGCTGATTAATTGTTTTTATAAGAACCATGAAGATGGTATTGTTTGTTATAAACTATAAGCATAAGGTTGGCATACCTTTGCCGGTCCATGCCAGCAAATTAATGAAGTAACAAGAAAAAGTAAACTAAGCTGCTGACATGCACATTTAGCAATACATTATCTATATGTTTGTAGTGAAATCTGATAATACAGCAAAGCCTAGTTTCTTGTGACGGTAACATTTGTAATATCATTCTTGGGATCATCCAATCCCATGAAAAGTTCAAAAAAAAAAAAAAAAAAAAAAAAGATAAATGCCATAAAGACCTACAACATTATTAGTTTGCATTGGAAAAGGTTTCACAATATATTCTAATTAGGCCAACATCCCTTGAAGATATTGCATGAGCGGACTGTATCACATACCAGGATGAGATCAACATTGTGCAAAAAATCAACTTGGTTGGTGACAAGCACAATTGTCTTGCCCTTCAGTGCACCCCTTATGCACTCCTGCACAAGGATATGAAATTATTATGTTCATAATAAAATTCTCTTTGCGGTGTAGGATGACTTGATATTATATTTCAACCTGTGAATAAACATCCTAAACAACGGAGATACAGCAACATTAAAGTGGTATTTCTTATTTAAAAAAATAAAAAATAAAAACAGCATAGACAGGATATAAAGAATGATATATCAAATTATTATTATAATGTTATGCACTATATAGCACTTTTACGCAATAGTGGAATGCTGAATGTGCTCTCAATCAGCTAAGGGTTGATTAGTTTCTTGTGGATAGAAAACAAATTTTAGAGAATAATGATTGTACTGGAAACAATTGAAGATAAAAAATAAATTCGTGTACTTGCTTAGTTTAAAATGCCCACCTAGAATTGTACCACGGTAGATTTGAACCTATTGACCGCACTACATATTTAGAGTTGGCAATATCACTGATAGATATCGATGATGCGCTGAAGTGTTGACTATTCTTACCTACAAACACTCTACCTGTTGATGGTTTTTCCACTTGCTGCTAGGCATCATACATCCTTCTGTAAGTTCAATAGGATACACATCACTCAATTTTTGAGCACTCAAAGGCCACTCAAGAGCTAGCAAGCTTTTTTCTAAAATGTGACACGAACCTGGCGAGTTATTGAGAGGCTTCATCATTAGGTTCCAGAGATAAATGATAGAATCCAAAGACTTGGACTGACAGTCATGTAGGTTGCATTAACTCAAAAATTATGAGAAGAATCATTCAGATATGTTCTCAAACTACAACAATCGTGTACATCGGCTAGTTTTTGGAACTCACGAATAGCCATTTAATTAAAGTATAATATAATAGCATGGTAGAATCTTTCTTAGCCACTCTCCTAAATGAGCTACTATCAAGGCAGATTGACACCAAAATTATGGGCATGATAGGAGCTGCCCATGGGCCGACATGGAGGGCACGCGGAATGCTTAGGATTGCTATAATCAAAGCTAGCAAAGGGATCTCGTGCTAGCAAGACCACTTTGTAAAGCAAGATCAACCACCCCCACAAATGGAGGCACCACATGCAGCTTGCTCATATAGAGATGATGGGGGCACTTGATGCATCTTGTAAACAAAAAACAACAAAATACAGAATAAGTGCAGCAAGAACACAAAAATAGGGGCTGATTTTTTATTATTCTGTCAACAAATAATGAAAGATACAATTGATCTACTATTTGATGGGTAGATCGGCTCTCCCATAAACTCTAGCCACAGCTAGGAAACTCACACCAACAAGAGTAAAATAAACTCAGTATATATAATATTAAAACCCTAGACAAAACTCCTTAAATAGCCCTAACACACAATTAAAACCTTCCTAAAATATTAAAGCTTCCAAAATTAAAACCTTCTTAAAATATTATAACCTTCCACAATTAAAACCTCCCTAAAATAAAATATTCTACAATAAAAACCTTGCTAAAATATTAAATCTTTCCACAATAAAAACATTCCTAAAATATTAAAACTTTCCTAAATTAAAACCTTCCACAATAAAAACCTTACTAAACAACTTCACCTTGATTCCTTACCTAATGAATAATAGCTCCTCTATCTTGATTGTGGGCCCCCTGATGTATCAATACTCCCCTCCAATGATACACCTTATCCTCAACGTGGAAGGATGAGAACTGTCTCCTGATCATCTGTTTCAACAACAAAATATGTTTCATGTCGAGAATCACTTAGCATATGATCAAGTTCTATATCCTTCATTGTCTGCTCGTGCTTCACTCAAAAGAATATGCCATCTTTCAATAGTTTAACATCTTTCCTAATGCCTTCACTTTATATTAGATCATGTCTTATGCTTCTATTTGACTTTTGTGCTTTGATTTTCTTGCTTCATCATCCACATTGGTACCAGAAATAACTTCTGCTTTCTCTAGAAGTCCTTCCGTATTAGCTACTACATTCTGAACCACCTTAACCTTTGAACACAACTTTCTTATCTCCAAGATTCTAGCTGATGCTCTTAAACTTTGTGAGCTGTGATGTTTACCTTGTACCTGACTAAAAATTTTAGGCAGTTTTCTCTTACTATTTAGAGTATTAATATTTATCAATAGAGGGTGTGTTCCTCTAGAGGTGCAATCTCATTTTCCAATGGAGCAAAAAAGGAAGCATAAGCATTCAGTTGTGCCTTCAACCCCTTATTTTCTTTTCCAAGCACTTCAACATTTTCTTTTAAATATTCTTCTAAAATATTGTCGCAAGATATCTCTTCAACTATAAACTTCATTTGCACAATATTAGTTGCTCTAAGACCCTTAATTGTCTGCATCAACTCAAAGAACTTCTCCTTAAATATCAATTCTATGAATGCTGAAACATGAAGGTTATGTAGGAACTTGGCAGCTTCTACTTTATTGGATCTGCATTCGTCAATTGATACCTGTATTTTAGATGTCAAGTTTGTTTCTCGGGTTCTTTATGCTTCCACTCCGTGTAATTCATAAAATAATCTGCAAAATATTATCATAACAACCATTTGAAATCTCACGATCATTAGCACCGTATGACTCACAAATCTTCTTAGTATCATATGTTTTCATCATCAAATCAATTCCTTCCAAAGTTTCACATTTTGGTCTAGCAGTGTAATTAGCTTCCTTTCCTAAGTGACCCATTTCTATTTGAGTTCGAAAAAGAAATTTTATGCATGCTTCAAATTTTCCACGTACATTCCACAATCTAATGAGAGAAACAAATTCTTTTTAGTCAATTCAACCAAAAATTGCTTCAGGATGAAACTACTAATCTCATGTTTACTACTTTATAACGCTTCTCTTCAAGCTCTTATTATGTAACTTGGATTTGTTTTTTCAAGATTTTAATTTGATTACTCAAAATAATCAATTGACATTTGATTCCTTGTCGAAATGAACAATGAAGTTCTTCCATATCATGATCTGCTAGATCCTTCTTGTCTATAATCTCATTGTTTCCTTCTAAGACCATAGTCCGATTCTATGGGCTTTGAAGATGATAAGAAATTCTTTCTACCTGAATTTCATCCTTTGAATTTTTCGGCTTAATCAATTAAAATGTCATGTTTATCCTTTGAGAACTCTATATTAGCCGCATTATGTATTTGACCCTCAATATATCCATCTTCAGAAATACCCATACAAGTAGAAACCAAAGATGCTTCCACTGATTTTCTTTCATTCTTAGACACTGACTTCATTTCAGTGTCTTTCCCATCTTCATTTTTGGATTATGAAAACACAAGTTCTTGGGAAGTGGATGTTTTGATAGAATCACATTGCACAAGACTTAGAGATTTTGATCAACTCCATCAGCTTGGTTTTGCAAGTTTTTTTCTTTCCCCTCTTCATTCACATCTTTTGCTTTGACGATCTGTTTATCCTTGGAACGTACTTTTGTATCACTTATTGAACTCTCACTTTTCTTCTCTTTAATCCTTCACATCTTCAATTTTCTCACCTTAGGATCGTCACCGACCCAATAGCTTCTTTCTCCTCCATTGTAGCGATTTTCATGATCCTTCCAAGTTTCCCCCTTGTATCGAGGCTGACAATCCCACTTTTCTTCCACCCTCCTTGTATGATCTGATCCCCATAGCTCAGTTAGACCCCTTCCAACTCCGGTTTCCCACTCCCCTTGCTTGAAATGCCTCCCATAATGGTCGGACAACCCACCATCTCCACCACAAAATTCCCTCGTTGTTTTTCCCCCATCCAAAAATCTTGATCCGCCCCTTATCAGAGCCCAAGCGGTGGATCTAATCTCCTTTCCCTTAGATTTTTCCAAGGGAATTCCAATCAAATTTTAGTTAGGGTTAGCAATTAAAATCGTCGGTGGAGTTTTGGATTGCATCTCCATTTGCTTTCTCATCATCTCCTCCAACCCTCCAAATCGTCTCTCCATCCGATCCTCCATGGAGAAAAACCTTCATTCGATGGTTAAGAACTTCTCCTCCATCCGGGATTTGATTTGCTCCACTTTTCCTTCCAATGCATCCACCTTCTTTACAATCATCTCTCCAAATCCTCGCTCTAATACCAATTTGATGCGTCCTGAAAGCAAAAATAGCAAAATAGAGAAGAAGAAATGCAAGAACACAAATATAAGGGCTAATTTTTTACTTCTTCTTCAACTAATAACAAAAGATACAATTGATCTACTATTCAATAAGTAGATTGGCTCTCCTACAAACCCTAGCCACCGCTAGGAAACTCACACTAATAAGATGAAAATAAACTCAGCATACATAATAGACAAGAGCGCATGGAAAGCACCTATAGAAGACCAAGAGAATGATTCCACTAGTCTAATCCATATTACCATTGTATATTTGACATCCTTTGAGTAGGTAGAGTCATGAGATATCGAGGGGCATGTCTTAAGTGACAATAGTAGCAATTTCCCCAATCACCTACAACTAACAAATAAATCAATTAGTCAAAACCCTTTCAATGATGCCACGTGGTCACCACTCTAGTCACCAATTACTAAATTGGTAGCATCCTTATTGACATAAGGAGTTTCATTAGCATTATTTTTATTTTTTATTTTTTATAAAATCAATGTGGTTGTTTCTATACTCACCCCAGTAATAGTATTACGTAATGGCACGTGCTAGTTGAGATTCTAGTTAAGATATAATTAAACATTGTTAATCATACTTTTCATTGCTTGAAACATATCTCTTTAATGATCTAAAAACCTGAAAAATTCATATGTTTTTTGTTTTCAATATATTTTCATGCTTCTCTGGTTATTCCACTATACCACCATCGAGGCTATAGATCATATTAGGTTTTAGGGTTTTGAATGGCTAGCATACAAGCTTGGAGAAACATAAAATAATTTTATTACAAGGTTAAAGCATAGATCTAATCTACACTACATATAACACCATATCAAATAACAATTTCAAAAGGAGAAACTATCCATGAAAGTTCATTTTCACAGAGAATACACATAC